GATTACTCTAGCTGTATGTTTGGCGTGCATTAGTAGGAGTTGAGTTCTCCTAATCTTGTTAAGGCATTTGAGAATTGTCCATACATGTTTTGCACAAGTTTCAGACATGTGAATATACATTGGACATCCCAAACAATTAATTAGTACGTACAAGAAGCTGAACATGCACATGCTCCTAGAGGCACAGGTCCTCTTTGCTGCCGAGCTTGACACACGCCGGCGCGGTCACGTAGTCTGACATTAGAGTTGGCTCTTTGAGCCCCTCTTTAGTGTTTTGGCACAAACGCCGCCTCGATGATGCCTGCAAGTTAAGGAAACGAGCAGATCAATTAATGTGGATCTTTGATATGCAGGGTATGCATCTATCACGCCATCACATATTTGTGAGCTTATTTGAGTTTATTTAGTATACGCTGGAATGAATCACGCAACAAAAGGTGTATAAATAAATGAATATTAAGACCTTCACTGTTAAGTGTTGTGCCATGCAGACTCCAGATAGCGCCATGCAGACTCCAGATGGCCCGCCAATTCATTTTCATATTTCTCAGGCCATTGCACATTTCATGCAGAGCCTTTCACAACTATGAGAATTCATTCACCAATGTTACACTCTCAAGGCGACTTGTTGACAGTGTCGTTTATTTGGCCTAAGAAAATTTATGGTACACTCTCAAGGCGACTTGCTTGTGGCGCCCGTGTCTGACATAATGACCGGAGTCTCATTATAAAGTCTCTCAAATAACCAACCTCATCTCACGACCCACGAGGCTGAGAACACATACGTCCTGACCGACGAGGCTGGACATATTTCTCTCCTTGACCGACGAGGCTCGGAGATCATCATCATTCCGCGACCGACGAGGCCGAACATACACTTGAGACTTTATCATGAATTCCGCGATCGACAAGGCCGGATATTTCTCACCAAAGACCGACAGGGCTTTTTTTCATGTTATATGGCAATTCTTGCCACCCATTTATACTTGGAGGATATTTATGCAGATTACAAGACGACGACCATTTGTGCAGCTTAATCGGAGGTTTTCCACGATCCAACACCGTTGATGTAATTAACCGGCGGCTTCACGAGGCCCCGGGAACCAAGAACCTTTCAATCAATGATCGCCTGTTTAGTCAGATGTATTAGGCGCAACTCAATGTAATCCAGTGGGAACGTGTACTTTGTAATTCTCGAAAGAATTAATAAAGATCCGAGTTTCCTAAATTGTTGTTGTCTCCTTTACTATTTATTTTGTATACTGGCGACCTCCGCGCATATTTATTTATTTTCCTACGTATTAGGATCTACCTTTCTAGTTGGGAGCATGTTTCCTTTTGGTGAAACAACTCTCTTAGTGTTTTTTTATAAGAGTACTCTTTTAGTGTTGAAGGGATGAAAAGATGACATAGCACTACCTATCTAGAAGAAATAATGTAAGGAGCATACATAGGGATGCAAAGAGCATTTATGAATGCCATTTCTCACCTTGTAGACATGGCTGATGAGAACTCTCCACGACCCTTGCTTGTTTTCTACGGTGTGTTTGGTGGTATCTGTTAGATGTATAGGAGGTGTATGTGTGTTTCTCTCTACTTGGAGGGCTTCTTTGCATATGTACATTGTGTATACTTGCTCTTTTGGGTCTTGCAATAGAGCTGGTTGGTCATTCTCTAACACGGTATCAGAGACGAGGAACCATGGGGATGATATACCTGACGGAGGAGGAGCGGAACTACTTCTCTATGTCATCGACATGCTATGGCTGAGGAGATTGCTGCCCTAGAACGTACTGGCACCTAGGATCTTGTTTCTTTGCCACCTCACGTCACTCCTATCACTTGCAAGTGGGTGTACAAGGTAAAGACCCGCTCGGATGGCTCTCTTGAGCGCTACAAGGCTTGTCTTGTGGCGCGCGGCTTCCAACAGGAGCAAGGTCGTGACTATGAGGAGACCTTCGCTCCTGTCGCGCACATGACTACTGTTCGCACTCTTGTAGTTGCTTCTGTTCGTCAGTGGTTGATATCCCAGTTGGATGTCAAGAACGCCTTCCTCAATGGCGAGCTGCGAGCGGAAGTCTATATGCAGCCACCTCCAGGATACTCTGTTCCTGATGGCCTGGTTTGTCGGTTGCGCCGTTCTCTCTACGACCTCAAGCAAGCTCCTCGGCCCTGGTTTGAGCGTTTCTCCTCTGTTGTCATCGATACTGGTTTTACGGCAAGTGATCACGATCCTGCTCTTTTTATTCACACTTCCCCTCGTGGTCGCACCCTTCTTCTCTATGTCGATGACATGATCATCACGGGTGATGATTCCCAGTACATTGATTTTGTGAAGCAGCGTCTCAGTGAGACATTCCTTATGTCTGATTTGGGTTCACTTCGTTACTTCCTTGGTCCTGAGGTCACCTCCACATCTGATGGTCTCAGGACCTCCTTTCCCGTGCTGCTCTCACTGATCACCGCACTTTTGATACTCCTATAGAGCTTGGTGTTCACCTACGACCTACTGATGGTGACCACTTGCTGATCCTACTCGCTATTGTCAGCTTGTTGGGAGTCTTATCTATCTTGGGATCACTCGTCCTGACATTTCTCACTCTGTGCATATCTTGAGTCAGTTTGTCTCAGCTCCTACCCAGCTCCACTATGCTCATCTCCTTTGTGTTCTGCGATACCTTCGTGGAACTATCTCTCGGCGCCTTTTCTTCCCTCGTTCTAGTTCTCTTCAGCTTCAGGCATATTCTGATGCGACCTGGGCGAGTGATCACTATGATCGCTACTCTCTCTCTCTGCCTATTGTGTTTTCCTTGGCTCCTCCTTGATTGCCTGGAAAACCAAGAAGCAGACTATAGTTTCCCGCTCGAGTGCTGAGGCTGAGCTGCGTGCTATGGCGACTGTGACTGCGGAGGTGACATGGCTACGATGGCTTCTTGAGGATTTTGGTGTGCCTGCCACTACACCCACTTCTCTCTCTTCTGACAGCACCGGTGCGATCAGTATTGCTCGAGACCCAGTCAAGCATGAGCTCACCAAACACATTGGCGTTGATGCTTCCTACATGAGATCGCAGGTGCATGATCTGGTTGTGACGCTCCACCATGTGCCTTCAGAGGTCCAGTTAGCTAATTTCTTTACCAAGGCACAGACCCGGGCTCATCATAGATTCCTACTCTCCAAACTCAGTGTTGTAGATCCACCATGAGTTTGAGGGGGGTGTTAGATGTATAGGAGGTGTATGTGTTTTTTCTCTACTTGGAGGGCTTCTTTGCATATGTACATTGTGTATACTTGCCCTCTTGAGCCTTGCAATAGAGCTGGTTGGTCATCTCTAACAGTATCTACCTATCGGTGCTTTGGTGGTTTAGCGGGTTGTTTTGTTGTGGTATTGTCGAGCTGTCGCTTATACCGTGAGGTTTTTTTTTGGTGTATGTTGTTGTTGCTCTTCCTCTCCATTAATATATGCCCGGTGATTTTCTCGACCGTGGATTTTCAAAAAAAAAAGAGGAGCATATATATGTATGCAGTGATGATGCATGGGTGGCCAATGCCAATTTGACTCCCATTCCATGAACGAGGAATCATCGATCGCAGTTGTCACAAAAAGTTTATATGATTAAACATTACCGAGTGTTGGAAGATAGATAGATGGTCATCACATGAAACCACCGGCCATTGCACAACACAAGCCTGAATAGCCATCATATCATCATTGGCGCTTGACGGGCTTGCCTTCCCTCGTCCTGCAGGCCACAGATGCCTGTTTGTTTTTCTGTAAAAATTATCAAATATAAAAAGTTTTGATTTGAGTTGGGATAGAAGTTTGAAATCGATGATCTGTAGCTCTAACAGAAGTACGTTGGCAAAGAATACGACTTGAACGAGGCGACGCATGGACACGGTTTTTTGCAACAGCTTGCCGTTCTAGCGGCAAAGGCCCAAATAAAAGCAGCAGCACCCCCATGCCACAGCCTGCTGGGCCTTAAGAATTTTTTGATGCTACGATGGAACCATGGGCCGTTCAGCAGACTCGTGGGCAGGCCTGGCGAACGCCGCCCACTGGAGTAGTGGAGTGGAGTCCTGAAGTGAAGGCCAAAGAAACAGCAGCAGGAGTAGTAGAGGATTTCAGTCACAAAAGTCCAGCAGCTCCTAGCTTCAAGTGCTGGACTAAAGCTGCACCTGCAGTAGTCCTGCACGCAGGGAATGGAGTTACTATCGATGGGAGGCTGGCATGAGCTGCAGCTGCATGCTTGCTGCTCTCTAGCCCCGCACCAAACTCTGATGACTACTAAGTGCAGTATTAACCATCCATGCCATGGATGATCTTCTCCATGGGATCGCACCAGACAGCAACATATATAAGAGCCACAAGAAGGTCTACTTGGCCTCTGCCCTTCTCAGCGGTCAGCGCTCAGCCTCATACTTGGCCATCGCTGCTCAGTTGATCTCAGAATTTCTAGCTTGGCAGTCTGCAGGCTGCAGATACATGATTTCCTTCCTCATCAAGACGTTGGAATGAAGATAATGTTTACTCATGACTTTGATTCCAAGGGTACAAAAATTCGCTTTTATTGGATTTTCATATATATGAACATAACATTCGTGATATATAATAACTGGTATCAATTTGTCCTAAAAAAACTGGTATCAATGTGTAATTCATTTTTTTCTCGAATACGCAGGAGAGATGCATATCTTTGTATTATAGAGAGGAAGTCCATGTATATTCTGACAATCCATACAATAGGCATGAAGATAATCACATCCAAATATTTCAAAGCATTTCGTCGTCACCTTCCAAGACATACGTGAAAATGACACTAGCATATAATCATAGATAGAGACAGCAAGAGCCCAAGAAAGCAACACATATACACACCTGCAATATTTAAGGTTCACAGATCCGGCATTTAGCCAGCAACCAACTCAAAATGGAGTTCACAAATGACAATTGCTGTAGTTCAGTGCAACCATCGAGACCAAAAACAAAGACAAGGTAATTACAGATCATCATCTCTCACGTAAGCTTTACCTAGAGATCGTCTCAAAGTTTTGCCTCCCCTTTGCCTGATTGGCTGAGAAGTGAAGTCACGATCAGAGTCATGCGAGTTTCCAGCTTCACTGATGCTCTCTTGGATGCTATGGAGCTCGAGAAAGCCGTTCATGTTGTTGCCACCCGGGACTTGATACGCCCGGGCCACTGGCCGGCTCGTCGACGGGGTAGAGGAATCATGAGGCATGTTTGAAGCTCTCTTGTAAGCCTTAATAGCTAGAGATCGTGTCAAAACTTTACCTTCGCCAGGCCTGACTAGCCGAGAAGAGGCATCGTCATGATAAGACTCATCATCTGAACTTTCAGCAGATAAACCTGCACTACTGATGCTGCCATGAACGTACTCCAGCTCCTGCTCCAGGTCCCTGAGTACCTCTTCCATCGATGGCCGCTCCACTCTATTTTCTGCCAGGCACATCAACACAATGTTGCAAAATATCATCAGAGAATGTGGGCTGATTGTGCCTACAATTTTCTGATCAACGATTTGCTCCAGCTGGTCATTCTTCAGCATTCCCGTTACCCACCATGCCAAGTTAACCTCGTCCTTGGGAAGTTTAGGGTCAAACGCTGGTCTGCCACATAGGACCTCGAGCAAGACAACACCGAAAGAGTAGACATCAGACTTCTGGGTCAGCTGCATCGTATGAGAGTATTCAGGGTCAACATATCCAGGGGTGCCCTTCACTTGAGTGATGACATGAGTTTCGTTCAACTCAGGACCATCCTTGGATAGCCCAAAGTCAGCAATCTTGGCACAGAGGTTCTCACCAAGCAAGATGTTTTCAGACTTGACGTCACGGTGGATAATGCCCTTCTCAGAACTAGTATGAAGATAGTGCAGTCCCCTCGCTGCTCCCACACAAGCCTCCAGCCGCTCCGGCCAATTGAGGGAGGGTTTATCAGAGCCATAGAGATGGCTCTTTAGAGTCCCATTTTCCATGTATTCGTAAACCAAGATCATTTCATTCTCTTCATCACAGTACCCAATCAGATCAACCAAATTGGGGTCTTTCAGACTTGCTAACAGTTCAATCTCCGCTCGGAACTCCTTCTGACCTTGCCAAGATGCCATCTTCTTCCGTTTCACGGCAACCTTGGTACCACACTTTAACACTCCCATGTAAACGTCTCCAAAACCTCCAACTCCAATGACGAGTTCCTTGTCAAAATTGTTTGTTGCTTGTTGGAGCACATGGAAAGGAAATGAACAAGGCCGATTATTTTCCGGAGCCTTTCCCTTTCGCCTAGCAGCTCCCTTGATTTTCTCAAACAAGCGAACCATGATGGTATATAACCTGAGTTAAAGTACGTGATGTTAACCTGAGTTAAAGTAATGATGACGATGCTGAGGTGGAATTAGTAAAAGAAAGAGAAGACGGCCTACGTACTAGGCTAATAAGTAGGCCCGCAAGGATCATATTGAATAAAAGTGACATATAATGGACCCAACTAGATCAACTATGCAGGGGTTCGTGATTTAGTGATGGAAGAAAGTTCAAATGGTAATTTGGACTGGAGATTTTGGGCTGTTAAACATGGAAGTCATTGATTGTTGTATTCATGGCCAGATCAATCGTGATAGTGCATCCAGCCATTATTGTAGCCTATCTGACAATATAGAATAGCTATCAGTATTGTGATCTCATTGTGATGACACATGTGCTGTAATCTTTCATGTATACCTCATGCATTGTAATACATAAAGTGGATCAACCCAAAGGGTTGATATAGTTGCATAGAAAGTACTTAATGATAAAAAAGAACAATACACAAGAATCCCTGACTGATTGCATGACTAGTCGAACTACAATGGTTTTTAATTGCTCAATTACCTATTGTTTGTAATTTTGGGGCAAAGTTAGATAAGGAATTAGATCAATTCCTAGTATTTGACAACTAGAGAAGCTTGGATGCCAATTGTATGCTCAGCTAACATGATGTGGGTGAAGTAGCAAACTCAAAGGTTGTTTGGAGAGATTTCTGCTGTAGTCTCCTAACCTAGAGAGGCATGCCGTGAAAAAGGTTTGTATCCCTTGCTTTCGTCTTTGATCTTTCTGTCTGTTTTTCTTGTTCTGATTTCTGAATGCTGATTGCTAGTTACAAACAATGTGAAGGGGGTTTTTGAGCACTTTTTAGCAACCAGTGTTTATGGTCATCTGATCAAGCTACAATGTGTTTTGGGTCACATGTATTGTTGTATGGTGACTCAAATCCTACTTTGACTAGGACTTAAGAGAGATGTGTGCTATTTAGGAATTGAGTGTAGAGTCCTATGTACCAGGAGTAAAATTCTTGCTTGCATGTAATGGGGTCTTGGAGGAACTTTGTAAAGGAGGGGGGGGGGGGGGGGTATGTAAAAATCAGAGGGTCCTAGATGGCCAAGTAGTTAAAGAAGGCTTACTTTGAATAGTTTGTCTAAGTCTTAGTTTTGAGATCTGGTTTGGTTTATATAGTGTAGTGTGTTTAGGTTCATTTGCTTCACTGCTTACTTTGCCTTTCAAATGTGAGTATTTGCATGTCTGGCCAAGTAGAAAAAGAAGGCTTACTTTCAATAGTTTGTCTAAGTCTTAGTTTTGAGATCTGGTTTGTTTATATAGTGTAGTGTGTTTAGGTTCATCTGCTTCTCTACTTACTTTGCCTTTCAAATGTGAGTAGTATTTGCATGTCTGGCCAAGTAGAAAAAGAAGGCTTACTTTGAATAGTTTGTCTAAGTCTTAGTTTTGAGATCTGGTTTGGTTTATATAGTGTAGTGTGTTTAGGTTCATTTGCTTCACAATGTAAAACATGTATAATATATGGCAAACAATGTAAAAAAGTGGTTGATAATAACAAGCCAATGGACAATCAGTAGTGTTACAAGTGTAAATAATTATTTAGACATGCAAATACTCACATTTGAAAGGCATATGTACCAATTAATTTGTGATTCAACACTGAAATTATGTACTTAGCCACGAGCTGCTTCTGATTTTTACTATGCATATGCAACTACATCATACCATTTGTTATGATATTTTTGGATTGATCTTGCTCTTTTAATGATATTTTTTTAACCTATTCAGGGATGACTTTTGAATTGCTCTTCCTCTTGGGATGTTTATTTTAAAAAAAAAATAGAGATGAATTTTCTGATTTCTCGAATGTCATTTTTTTCTGATTTTTTTTGGAATTAAAGAGATGGATTTTGGATTGTTCTTGCCCTTACTTTTAAAAAATGTGTAGGCTACAGGAGTAGCCAAACCAAGCCAATCTAAGGGTCGGTGTCAAAGGAAATGAACATATCCTGGGATTAACCCCAAAGATGGAAGGGGAACAGGTGGGGGAAGTGGATCAACCCAATTCGGTTTGGTTCTCCCTTGGTTTTTGATGCACATGTGGCAGACGAAATCTTGGGGGGGTAGTAGCCGCGTTGCTTATTGCTTGGTTAAATATACGTAGTAAGTAGTACTAGTAATTACTAGATCTGCAGCTGCATGTGCTGGAAGACCGAGTTGACCATCTGATCGAACAATTCTCATCGATGTCATGTGCACTATTCAGCAAGCTTGCATTGGTGTTAGACTTGAGTATCATCATGTCCAATGCGCGCAGCCAAAGTGAGCCCGCCCGAAAATATGCACCGATCTCCATCCATTCAAGAGCAATTGGAGGGAGGATCGGAGAGGAGGACATATATGTATGTACGGTACTAATTTACGATAAAGTGAGTATACATTTACGATACATACGTTACTATAATTCATGATGATATTTACCATAATGTTATAGTAAATCACTTAGGAGAAAGTTTCACTAAATCACACTAGTACGATAATTGTCATAACTCAAGGTGGCCATAAAATAAATTATTTCATATATGGCCAACTGTAGAACAATACGTGTGTGCGTATATATAACTACATGTCCCGATGGAGAGCTAATAACTATATTAACAATAAGGCGCCCTTGCCCCCATAAAATGACGGAAGAGGGCAGGAGGAATATCGATCTCCGCAAAGTTGGCTACCTACTACTGCTACTAGTCATAGTATATTATAAAAAGAAGCTCTAGCTACGATCTGTTTCATTCCGCCTACCACCAAAGTACCAAACATATAGGTCATGATGTATTTCATTTCTTATCAGTTCTTTCATCCATTGCACATGTCAAATTAAATATATAGGTACTACGAACATCTTCTGATTTATTTTATGGTCTTTATTTATTGATCATGTTGTTGACTCCTATCTATATATATATGGAGAAGCAATTAGGTAGGAGGCTACGTACTAGTACTACTATATATATATTTAGCCTAGCATCAAGATTTTATTATATGGCAAACGACGGCAGATGGGAGATGGGGATGCCTGAATTTAATTCAGGAGAGAATTCTCTATTTGACATCAAATGATAGAGTCCTTTGTGACCCTGAAAGATAATCCATGTGTAAAAAAGAGAGAGGTCTAGGGGCATTTTAGTCTAGGAAAACTTGAAGCTACGTGGGCCAGTCTTAATGGAGGTTTCATGTCCTAGTTTTCAATACATCTATATTTTGAAAACAGTGCAGAAGAGTTTCATCATCGTAAAACTATCTCTACTCCGATGAAACTGTTATAATCTCTCTCTTCATCAATACGGTGCCACATCAACATATTTAATATCCATGAAACTCTGATGAAACCCATTGAGACTGGCCTAACAAAATGACTTGACGGACCCAACAACCTATATGGGGCATAAAGTTACATTGGGTGTAAAAAAGGCACGGATTATCTTTCAGGGTCACAAAGGGCACTACTCTATCTTTTGATGTTAAATAGGAAATTCTCTCTTAATTCAGTGCTGCTCATCTAAGGCTGTCATATGTACTGCGAGTGTATATATATTGGTTGCTTAATTTTGTTAGACTTAGTTACTCATTATTTTATGTGATATCCATCATACATGTGAGATCTTTGAATTCGGTTATTGCTTAGTTAGCGGCACGCACCTCATCATCCGCCGGTACGTTCTAATGATAGGCCTGAAGAAGAGGGCGAAAATATAAAAATGCGGCCGGGGAAAGCTTGTATAGTGTTTTATATTATTTTGTTTTCTGCTTGTACTACGAGTGGTGAGGTGACAACAATGATGAAGCTCTCCTAAAAAAAGAAGGCCCAACGCATGTTTGGCTTCATTGAGGTTTCAAGGAGAGAGAGGGGGGTACACTATCTGAGCTCAGTACACAAAAAGAATTAATGTGTGCCTTTTTGTTTGATCTATCCAGGACTGTGTGAGGGGCACATCACCTTCCCAACACGTAGGGTTCCGCATTGGAAGAAAAAAAAGTACGGTTCGATCCCCAAGGTGCTTTATCTTCTACTCTCCGTCTCAAATTATAAGTTACTTTAACTTTTTTGAAGCGTCAAAACATTTCACGTTTGACCAAAATTATATAGAGAATTATAAAGATTTATGACATCAAATATGTATAGTATGAAAATATAATTAATGATATAAGGATACTTATTTGTATCATATATGTTATTATTTTATTATATAAATTTGGTCAAAATTGAGATGTTTTTTACTCTCCAAAAAATTATAATAACTTATAATTTGGGACGGAGAGAATAGTAGAGTTAGTAACTACTCATACTGTAGAGGATGTGCTACGATTGGATTCACGACATGGGTGTGGCCATGCGTGAGTTGGTAACTACTCATATTGTTGAGGATGTGCTAGGATTGGATTCACGACATGGGTGTGGCCGTGCGTGAGGCCACGTGTTGCCTTGAGCTATTGGTCTAATATGATACTCTCTCCATCCCTTTTTTAACTATCGTGCTCATCTCCCGAGAAGTCAAACATGCTTAATTTTAACTAAATATATAAAAAATATAAGTATTTGTAGTACATAATTAGTATCATTAGATAGATCATTAAATCTATTTTTTATTAAACTTATTTGGAGATATAAATATTGTAAATATTTTCTACAAACTTAGTCGAACTTAATAGAATTTGATCAACATAAATACCATAGTGACGCTTAAAAAGGAACATAGATAGTAGGTGTTTTTAGGTTTATATATACTTTTTTGGCCATTTAGTGCAGAAGAGAACGTTTGAAAGGTTCTACTGTACTACTCCTTTCATCTCTAAAGAATATAATTCTAAATTTAAGACAAGTCAAACTTTTTATTTTATAGACTACTAGAAAAATATGTATTATATAAATTAATCAAATGATACTTATTTGATATAAAAATATTAGTTTTTATGTAAAATTGATAAAAAATTTAAAATTATCTGACTCTCTTCACGAATTGAGAATTGTTTTTCTTAGAACGGAGTAAGTATATGATAGTAGTACAAAAGATGTTGGCTCGACTCAAAAAGCACTTGGAGTTACACGCACGACACGATGCAGCGCGCAGCCAGAGGCCATCTGCTTAGGGAGTGTTCGGTTGGTCGTTTCAGCCAGCTTATTTGCTGGCTTATAAGCCATTGTATAGTATTTTTCTCTCTAAAATATCAGCCATACAAATCAGCATCATCGGCTTTACCACCAGCCAAACACTCCCTAAGACTGGGCGGCGTTGGTGCTCAGCAAACGGGAGTACACGGCTACCAATGCACTGACGGATGACAGAGGATTTTTTTCCGTTTTACCACTTTTTTTCAGCCGTGAACAGGTACCAAAATTCTTAAAGAAAATTCTACGATATTTCAAGCACTTTTATCCTTCGATTTGTTGTAAACCTACGTGATGTACTAACTAAATGTCAGTGAAAGAAAATTTCGTTCCTTTGCTGGGAAAAATGTCAGTTGCCTACACTGATAGTGACAAATTATGTGTATCATATATGCTTCCGGATGTAGTAGCCATTTAGATCTCTCTGTCAGTTTGTTAGTGTGTTTGTGGTTCGCTTTTGAATTGGTAACCCCGGCTTTGTATCAATATATATTAAGTTAATCTCCTCTCTAAAAGAAGATTCTGCACTGACCGTTTTGGGTGCAGAAGTATTCATGCCTTTTGCCGGATGCCTGGATTTCTTCACCTAACCATGCATGCATAGAATGGCTGGTCTACTGTCTCATGAAGTCATGCATGATTACTGTATGTAGGATTCACAAAAAAACAAAGTCATGATTATGTAGGAGTACTACAAAATACTCTTAATTACTACTCCTCATATCCCTTTCCGCATGCACGTGGATGTGGATGTGGATGTGACGCTCCCGCAGTAGTCCCGCTACAACTCGCGGAGCGGTAGGCGGACAAAGAACAGCATGGGACAATATACCGAGTGATGTGATAAAGAAGAGCATGCTCGCTTGGTCGTATTTGGTTTATAAGCCATAGTTTATTAGCCAACGAATATTATTTTTCTCTCACACAAAATTAGCCAACAGTACTTTCAGCCATGGCTTATAAGCCAAACCAGCCGAAACGAACAGGGCGATGATTTGCAAAACGGCCACACATGTTTGTTGGTATAGTACAGATTTTTGGCTTTTGATTTTTCGAAATAGGTGGAAATAAAAAGATATATCATATTTGTTTCAAGAAAGATAGAGAGAAGATAAGCTTTATATTTATTTTAACCAAACAGTTTTCTACCGTCTTTAACAACATATAATTAACAATAACTTCTTTTTATAGCTCATAGTTCACAACAGTTTTTTTCGCAGCTCACAACTCAACCAAACAGACTTTTAAGCTATATATGTACACCAATTTAATTACTAACGTATGACGACTGACGTACGTAGGGTCGGAGGATTGAAAATGAGTATCCATGACGTGTCCTTCTCGGCTCTTAGTCAAGGCCTCACGTCTGTGGTCAACGGATCGGATCTTCGATCAATCAAACAAAAAGAAGATACTTCCGTCACACTACCCCCAATCTTTATTCAATTTGTCTTTAAGCTAATTTTTTTCTAACTTCAACTAAGTTTATAAAAAGAAATCATCAATATATTCAATATTAAATTAGTTTTTATTGAATTGCCTATATTCATAGCCCAGCATATCCACCGGATCACCTTCGTCCTGTGCACCACCTCCAGGCGACGTTGGCCCAGCAGTCAGCGCATCCTCCATGGTGGGGCCAACGGGATCCACAGTAGGCGACTGCTCCATGGCGGGGGCGACCAGGTCTGCTCCTGTCTTTAGAATGTAGCGGCGTCCTGTACAAGGAGTCATTAATTTGATGGTAATCCAAAAATATATGAAAATATATAGGACTAATCTATGTGGCTACTATATAATAAGGAGTTGATCGTTAATTAACGACTGCTCAATGCAAACATAATAAGTTTTATTAATTAATTACAAAGCAAACACAATATTTTTATTGGTCTATGCTTTTCTATGTACAAGATCTGTTAGATGATCTTGAAGGTGTGAGTCTGGTCTTTGTTGAAGGCCGGTATTATTGACTGTTTTCTCAACCTTACTTTGATTACCAGTATCTCAAAGGTTCCCCTGACTCCACTATTTGGTAAAACACTGACGACAAACCTAAATTCTAGTTTATCAATGCAGATATCTCGGGTGGTGTATCAGACTTTTTTTTAAAAATAAAAAAGGGCAGGAGCTCTGCCTTGCATTTTTAAAGAGGAAAAGAAAGACACAAAAGGTGTGTATCAGACTTACCATCAGCCTGTTCGTTTGGCTGTGGTTTGTCGTAAACGATCGTAAATTTTCAGCCGGAATAGTATTTTTCTCTCACACAAATCAGCCAGCAGTACTTCTTCACGAACCAGCAACGAAACGAACCAGCCAACCGAACAGGCTGCATATTGTTTGAGCAGCTTTTTGCATATTTTCCAACATCAGATTAACCAATAATGGAGACAAGGATAGAGCATGAAAGACAAGGATAGAGCATGAACATATGCTGACACAAGACAATGTGATCGACAACTGGTGAAGCTACAACTACAATAATGGCTCTAGCGACGTGTTTGAGAAAAATGCTTCTTGGGTTTGTTCAACGGCATTTTTTCTGCACATGACATCAGCATGACTGGCCCAAAAAACTAAGAGGCGACCAGATACATGCATGTTACGTGCATATAACATTTTTTGGGAAATGCAGTACCACCATATACTAGAGTAGTCGGTACAGACTCCATTCAGAGGAAATAACAGTCAAACATGTCGTCCTACGGATTCATAAATGGAGCTTTTGATTAATCTATGAGCATCAACATTCGAGCTCCTGCTTTCATAGACGATATCCACCGACGCGAAAACTTGCCATTCCTGCCTTGATCTCCCTGATGATGTGGCCATAGGGGCTCATCCCAGGGCCATGCATATTCTTCACTACATCCGCGTCGTTGGTAGCAATCATGACCTTCCCTAGCATGAGCTCCAAAAAAAATATACGAGTCGTGAACGAGAGAAGAGGCCAAGGAATGCGTGTCTGGGCCTGGCTTCACTAATCAAATCAACCCGACCACGACTTGTGCAGCCTGGGCTGGTCTGGACTGGAGCACATAGGCCTACTACACGAGCGGGCCAGGCCCACATCTCTCCAGTCTCTTCTTCTCCGTCCGTCTATACCGAGCAGGAGAAGCCATCTGACAAATCTCAGGAGCGGAGAACCCAACCACCTCCACACCTCTCTCCCCCCAATCCGTCTTCATCTTCCCCATCCGTCCTAGTCTTCGCACGCAGCTTCGCCAGGATCGATTCGCGAGGCCTCTCCCGTCCGGATCGAGGTTCATGGTGAGGAAACTTCCCCTCCCTCTCTAGTTTCCCCACCCTAGGATTACTGTTTTACTTCTATAGTTCTTCTATTCCATTCCCCCCTCAAATCTTGATCTTCCCTCACCTGCCCAAACTCCTTGTCTGCTAGTTCCATTAGTTCGCGCGTGTATTAATCTGGTTTGATCTCTGTACCGTCTGATTAACCAATCACTTCCATTCCTTTCGTTGGCAGGTTTACATATGCGCGCGTGTTTACTGATGCATATCACGGGCACCTGATCCGGATGTCCTGTCCTGTCCAGCGGACAGATCTGCTTCCTTGGAGTCCAGTTCATGTATGAACTCGATCGCATATTCCCTCCTTTCCCTGGCACACTGATAGATACAAAAGGGTATTCGCGGATTTAAAAGAACCAGATATCCATGTCTGACCAGCAAAGGCACTACGGCAGCTACGAGCTCCTCCCCGCTCAGCCAGACGTGCAGTGCCTGGTCTGCACGCGGCCTTTCACTCTGGACGCCGAGGTCACCGACAGCTTCGAAGCTTTAGCCATATGCAGGGAGTGCAAGATGACCGTGCTTAGTGACAGCAACAGCAACAGGGACGAGACTCCCAGGACTAACGGGCAGAGAAGATGGCGAAGGCAGAGGTCCTCCAGCGTGACAGGGCACGAGCCTCCCACGGAGGAGGATGCTTTCCCGCAGCAGTTCTCCCAGCTGATCAACTTGGCTAGGCAGGGTCATGAGGCGGATGCTGATTCTCCGACGGTTCCGCCGCGACAGCACGCGTCTTATAGCTCTACGCCGAGCCGGTCCCAGAGATGGCACACTTCAGATGACGAGAGTGATTTTCTGAGTTACGCTGATTCTGTGTTTGGCGAGATTGAGTCGAACATCAGTTTTGGTGACGAGGGTGGGGAATCGGATGCTTCTGTTGATCGCCACGCCATGGTTGGGAGGGAAATTGTCATTCAGCTTGACAATGAGAGCTACATGAACACGGATACAGATATTGATCCTATGAATGCTGGAATATACCAGTGGGATTCAGATGATCCTGAAGATGATGATGAGGATGAGCAGTCAGAAGAGTCTGATTTGGATGAAGCAGATGACACCATGCAGGAGCACCGGCAGCAATGGCATGATATCGCCCCGAGTGGATTGAATGAGCAGGAAGCTGAAGGTGCTGCGTGGACTTGGAGAATAGCTGGAAGCCAAGGAGTTAACAGGATTGATCTGAGAGCCGACATGGAAGGGCGAGAAATCAGGAGAGTTTTTATTGGGAATCCTGGAGATTATGTTGATGCAAGACAGTTTGAAATGCTTCTCGAGCAGTTTGCTGAGGATAACAATTCCAGAAGAGGAGCTCCACCTGCAGCGGCATCTGTCATTGAAAATCTTTCATCTGTGGTCATCTCCAAAAGCTATGAGATAAACGGTGGTGTAACCTGTCCAGTCTGCAAAGATGATATGCCTGTCACCACTGTAGCAAAACAGCTACCATGCATGCATCTATATCATTCATCTTGCATCTTGCCATGGCTTAGCTATAGGAATACATGCCCAGTTTGTCGTTACGAGCTTCCTACAGATGACCCGGAATATGAGAGGTCCAAGCATGCCACAGTCAATGAGGGAGGTATCCATTGGGTGGAGCGTACCCATCCGCAGGAAGTTGTTGAAGAAACTTATGAGCCTGAGGTTGATGGAAGTTCTAATACAGGTGGTGATACAATGGAAGAGACTAATACACGTGAACATGCTGTTCCTACTGCACAGCAGCCAAATGGAGCACATGGGCGTCATAGATGGTTATTTATTGCAGCAGCTCCAGTTGTAAGTCTTGTCAGTTTAGCTCTAGTTTTGTGCTTCACCAACCCAGCTGGCAATGTTAGAAGGCAATTGTGCCGTAGATCCCAGACTACCACTACAACACATGTAGACACAAGAAGAAGTTGGTGGTCTATGTTCTAAATATTCAGTGCATACCTGCTGATACCAAATGTCTGTGTGATGGCGTGTGCTTGTTGCCAGTGTTGTGTCACTTGTGTATGAAAAGGTTCAAGATTAATTTGAAGTTCAAACTTTGTGTCTGCTGACGTGATCCACCAAGGAGTTCTTGTACCCAAGTTCAGTCAGTTCAGCAAAACAAATACTGATGATTGCTGCTGTTGATTAATAGTTTGTATGTTTGGTTGCTTAGATTGTAACTTCAAGCATGTAACTAACACTCTGCCTGAAAGTTTACCCATGCATTCATCAGTAAGTACCTAAAGTATCTGTTGTCTTGTAGTCTCATTGTGCATGATGCTTGTTGTAGTTTGACTGGTAATTTGCAAGTCCTATGAAGCTTCTGCTTTAAATTAAATATGCTTAACTCTCCACTCCAAAGTTTAATCCATGCCTTAAACAATCTATTGCTGACCTTGTTGTTTTTTTTCTTCTGATATTTGCCTTATGTTAAAAAAATATCTGTTCCAACCATGAGGTAATTCCTCATTTATTATTTGAAGCTCACTCGTGTTTTATTTGTGACTTTTTTCCTCATTTTCTTTCTTTCTTTCTGATATAAAACTCTTGCCTAGATTAATCTAGTCTACTGGGTGTGTTTGGCAAATACGTTGGAAGAGGCATGGGAATAATTGGTGGGAGTTGATAGAGGGAATTAAGGTGGGAAATTGACTTTTAGTCCTAATCCCTTGTTTGGTTCGTGGAGGGAAATAAGAAAGGGAATTGAAGAGGCAAATCATGATGAACGGTAAGGATCTACTTTTATTTTAATAAGAGCACAATTCCCTCCCAATTACCACCCCTCCCCTAGGGAATTGATTAGTGGGAGTTGGCCCCCTAAACTCCCCTTCCCCTTTCCACCAAAACTCCCATTTCCACAAAACAAAGAAAATATTTCTAAACTCCTACCTCTAAACTCTCATTCCCTTCTTTCAATTACCCCCAACCAAACGAGCCACCTGTGTCATGCTAGTTACATAGTGCAGAGTTATATGTAGTAATAATATATGGTGGCTGTATGGTCTCACGAAGTAACACTGGAAGGGAAAAATTTGCAAGCAGAAAGCCTTAAATCAAGTTGCTAAAAGTCTAGTGATGAATACTTGCCATGTTTTCAAGGTGGCATGTCTCTGAAACTACGTGCTGGAAGTGATCTAAACAATTAGAGAACGTCAGTAGGTCAGGAAAAGGACAATCATTCACCATTATTAAAACAAGTATATGGGTAAATGGGAGTCAGTAGGTCAGGAAAAGGACAAACCACCACTCATTTCTTCAACAAGTATGGGAACAGATGGGAGCTTTTTTAAAACTGGAATATATAGGAGTTCATTACTAAGTATTTTAAGCTAGAAGACTATACAAGTACTGATTGCCTTGTCTGTTTGACATAAGACTCATTTGTTCCTCTCATACTTCCCCCTCTAATGGAGAAACTACTTGAGATAGTTGTAGTTGTTTCGACCATACTTCTTGGCTTAGCTCTAGTTTACTTATATGAAGTCCTATGGCTGAGGCTGGAGAAGATAAGGAAAAAGTTGAGGAGGCAAGGCATAAACGGTCCTAAACCTACTTTGCTCTATGGCAACACCCAGGAGATGAAGAGAATCCGACAAGAACTCAAGTGTGTGCAGAGGCAAGACAAAGACATGAACGGCTACATATCCACCATCTTCCCTCATTTCCTTCTCTGGAGGAAGACATATGGTATGTATAGAATCCCTTGCTTTTGCTTATCTGTTTATATAAGGGTCACTGCAATGAGACTGATAAGCATGATCGTGATTGTTTACTTCATTCTGGAATCACAACAGCTTTCCATAATCGGAAGCTAGAAACATAGTGTTCATAAAAGGCTAGACAGTAAGGTTAATTAACTATCAACAACAACAACAACATAGCCTTTCAGTCCCAAGCAAGTTGGGGTAGGCTAAAGTTGAAACCCACCAAGAGCCCCAAGTCACGGTTCAGGCACTTCAATAGCTGCTTTCCAAGTACTCCTATTCAAACATAGATCTCTAGGTATATCCCAAGCTTTCAAATATCTTTTTATTGCCTCCACCCATGTCAATTTCGGTCTTTCTCTACCTCTCCTCATATTATTAGCTTGGCTTAGGACTCCACAATGCACTGGTGCCTTTGGAGGTCTCCTTTGGACATGGCCAAACCACCTCAACCGATGTTGGACAAGCTTTTCTTCAATTGGTGCTACCTCTAGTCGATCACGTATATCATCGTTCCAAACTCGGTCCATTCTTGTGTGATCGTAAATCCATCGCAACATACGCATTTCTACAACACTCAGTTGTTGAACATGTCGAATCTTTGTAGGCCAACATTCTGCTCCATACAACATAGCCGGTCTAATTGCCGTTCTATAGAACTTGCCTTTTAGCTTTTGTGGTACCTTCTTGTCACAGAGAATGCCAGAAGCTTGTCGCCACTTGATCCACCATGCTTTGATTCTATAGCTAACATCCGCATCAATATCTCCATCCCTCTGTAGCATCGATCCCAGATACCGAAAGGTATCCTTCTGAGGCACTACTTGACCTTTCAAACTCACATCTCCCTCCTCCTGTACAACTCCGCCAAAGTCGCATCTCATGTATCCTCAATCTAAAACCTTTAGACTCAAGGGTCTACCACCATAACTCTAGTTTCAGTAAGGTTAATTAACTATGCTTAAAGATAACTTTGCATCGGTCTCCCAAATATGAGGATGGCCAGAACCTTACATCATATACTTAGCATTTAAGTAAGTCTTAGATTCCTTTTGCGATGTTAATCATCTTGTGTGAGTATGCTTTTCATGTCCAGAAATCCCCAATAACAAAGATGACAGATTGATGGAAGATCATTCAGTCTTTGCCACTGTGAGTATTAGGCTATTATCTTGTTTCAGGATCACAAACAAGAATGCAGTTTAAGTATTTATCCCCTTGCCTATCTCTATCTGTCACTGTGCAGCTAGTTCTATACTTGAAGCTATGGACCTCCATTAGTAAGTTCCCCTAGGAGAAAATTTAGAAGTTCACTAAATAGCATGTTCTGAAGTCTGAACTGATAGTGATAGCCAGATTTTGTATCAAGTATGGTTTTTCATATGATCAGATATTTACCTTAATTAAATCCTTACATTTAGTTTGTGTACAGATAGTTGCCTCAGAAAAGACATCCATGAACACTTTGTTTTCAAGTGGACCCAAATATTAAGAATGTGTACTCTACTCTCTGGAGTTCAGTACTGTAAGTTTGTCCACGAGTAACTAAGTAGGTTCTGTAGAAACCGTGGTCTAACATTAAGAAATATTTAGCTAAATGATTGTGTAGCTGTCCTGGGAATTTTGGACCTTGTTGGCTTGTTGTAGCTGAGAGATGCTTGTGACTTGGGTTGTCCTGTCTTGTGAACATTCTGTTGAACTTTCGCAATCAATGTATGCAGTTATAAGTGGTTGACTTTTGATTCATTTAAGTTTCCATTATGTATTGCTCTGTCATTATCTAAATATTTCAGTTCAGTTTGTTATGTCATTACATGGTGTTTGAAAATTGGAACAGGGCCCGTGTTCCTTTACTCAACAGGAGTTTTGGAGATATTGCATGTTGCTCAGCCAGAAATGGTAAAAGACATGGGCCACTGGACTCCATCAGAGCTAGGGAAGCCACAGCATATAATGAAATCACGAAAACCTCTCTTTGGATTAGGTATATTGATAGCGAATGGCGACCTTTGGGCCTATGAGAAGAAGATCCTGGCACCACAATTCTTTGTAGAAAAATTAAGGTTCTTAAATTTTACTTAAAAAGCCCATATAACTGTATCATCAGCCTAAGCCTAACTGTGTTGTTCCTACCCTAAGCCTAACTGTGTTGTTCCTACAATGATAGGGTATGATAGGGCTGATTGTGGATGCAACTGTTCCGCTGTTACAATCATGGGAGAATATGCTTAATAGCACGGGAGGTAGTCAGAAGATCTATGTTGATGGATACCTGAGGAACTTTTCAGCGGATGTGATTGCTAGAGCTTGTTTTGGGAGCAATTTCATAGAAGGAAAAGACATATTTTGCAAGCTCAGGCAGCTCCAGAAGTTAATTTCTCAACAGGATACATTTGTTGGGCTGTCTGCACTGTGGTAAGGGACTTTTGATTTTTTTTTTTTTTTTTTGAGAAATTACGAAGGCAATGGAAATGAACACCCTGACTGGTTATTAATCTTGTTCTATTGCAGGAAATACTTGCCTACCAAGAGAAACTGGGAGATACAAATGCTGGATCAAGAAGTCCGGTTACTAATCCTGGATCTCTCAAGGGAACACAGGAGCAAAAGCCGCAGCAATGCTGTCACGCACATGTCCACATATGACAACCTTCTGCATGCCATTGTCGATGGTGCAAACCAGTGCCCAAGCTATTCCAGTGCCCCTGAAGATTTCATCGTCGACAACTGCAAGAACATCTACTTTGCTGGGCATGAAACTACAGCGGTCACTGCCACTTAGTGCCTGATGCTACTTGCTGCACACCCAGACTGGCAGGAACGTGCACGGGCTGAAGCTCTAGAAGTGTGCTGTGGACAGACAGTGCTGGACATTGACGTCCTTCGTCAGCTGAAAATAGTAAGAGACTCTCCTCATTCCTGCAGGTCTAAATCTTTCTTTGGTGATGCACATTAAAAGTGGCATTAAAATCTTTTGAAGCTTACAATGGTGATACAAGAGACTCTCCGGCTGTACCCTCCGGCATCACTAATCATGCGTGAAGCCCTGACAGACATCAGGCTTGGTGGAGTTGACGTCCCTTATGGTACCATTATCCAAGTAGCCATTTCAATGCTGCACCTTGACCTCGAAGCCTGGGGTCCAGATGCTAACGAATTTCGTCCAGACCGGTTCGCGAATGGAGCTGCTGCGGCGTGCAAGCCGGCCCACATGTACATGCCGTTCGGATACGGACCAAGACTGTGCACCGGGCAAAACCTGGCAATGGCAGAGCTGAAGGTTCTTCTTGCACGCCTGCTGAGCAAGTTCTCATTCTCATTGTCACCTGGGTACCAACACTCTCCGGTGTTTCGGTTGACCATTGAGCCTGAGTTTGGCATGCCCCTTGTGGTGACAAGGTTGCCATGATCTCTGTTTCTGAATAAGTTGCTTCCTCTACGTGAATTGAACTTGTACAATGTGGTCTCGTATATAATGTTCAAGGAGGCTGACCTCTTTGATGCACTTGGGCTCATCAACTAGTGCTTCAGTGGAAGCGACCACGAGTCAACAAACCTGCAACACCCAACCACCATCACCAAACACCGAATTTGATGTCTGGTTGTGCCTGGTGCTGCCACTTTATTTGAAGTTCCTGATGTTTCATCTATATTAGCTTGTTCTTGTGACGAACTCAATCACATATTTTCCTACACTACAATTTTCTCGGCTCAGGAGAGCAGACTATATTTGATACTTTCTATTTCTCAACTGTGCGCCACTTATATGTTCAAAACTTGTGCTGTAAGCTTTAGTTAACTGCCAGCTTAAAATTTTGAAGTTTAGCCATCCTCCTTTGATTCGTCCCATGACAATGTGGTCCTAGAAGACTCAACTTGCCTTCAGCATGCCTTGTTTTAAGATAGGGTACCATCCAGTGGTGGCACCGGAGGTAATCATATTTATATTCTTTTAAAATAGAAACATATACTTATTTTGTTGCTGTTCTTCTTCTGCTCTAAAATGTGATGGCCTGTCACTGAAATTCGACCAAAGAAAGACATTTGACTACCCTGTATTTTCAAGCTATAATTGACATTGTGAATTGAAAGCTAGGAAGAAGACATGTATCGTAGGTTCTGTATGTATATATATACAAGAACAGATGGGAAAAAGGCACATGGAAAAGGAGATAATTTTTTTTTTTTTAAACCCAGGTTTGCAGTATGGGACCTTCTTTGCAACGCGTGAATTTTATAGGAATTATACTTGAATTTTATAGGAATCGATTCATTTTATAACAGAAAAACCACATAAACCAGGAAATTTTTGTACGGGCCTTAGCCCACGTGCAGACGAGCTAGGAAAAACCAGCATCTCCGGCAAACAGCCACGGCTTGTTTTTTTCCTGTCCCTTTCTTTCCTTGCTCTAATTTTCCTTGGGGATTGATTAGCTAGGACAGGCGGCAACCTCACTCACTGGGACCAACTCTTATCTATGCTCTGTTCGCTTGGCTGATAAGCCATGGTTGAAAGTATTGTTGACTAATTTGTTGTGAGAGAAAAATATTATTCGTTGGCTAAAAAAGTATGGCTTATAAACCAAGCGAACGGGCGCTACTCCTTGATTAGTAGTAGTCTATCTGAAGTATAATAACCCTTCTCTCTGCTGTCTAGTCTTAATCATCATTTTTTTTCTCTCAGAAAACTGACGTCACTACCATTTAGGTGGTGTTTAAATTCATGGGCTAAAGTTTAGGGGTGTTACATAGGATTATTCAGATAGTAATAACAAAACAAATTATACAAGTCCCGAGTAATCCGCGAGACGGATTTATTAAGCCTAATTAATCGGTCATTAGCACATGTTACTGTAGCACAACATTATCAAATCATGGACTAATTAAGCTTAAAATTTTCCTCTTGCAAAGTAGTCGCAATCTATATAATTAGTTATTTTTTAGTCTATATTTAATACTCCATGTATATATCTAAATATACGATGTGACAGGAACTGAGAGTGTAGAGGGAGGAACCACCTGCTCTCGTCACAGCAAACAGACAGAGCTGAGCTTGTCCGTGTTCCCCTAGTCTTTCCATTCTCTTGCTTTTGCTTTTTTGGGTGCGGCACCCGGGAGCTTTATCTCCAGCTTTCCAGGTTCCCTGCTCACAGTCACAGACACAAATGGAACATGCCTGCGTCTCCTCTCTGCGAGTGCTATGGCTGAGCCTGCTGCCTCCGGTTTTGATCTGCATCCTCCTCCTGTCCTACCTGTGGACCTTCCAATGGCTGAGACCGGAGAGGATCAGGCAGAGGCTGAGGCGCCAGGGAGTGAAGGGCCCCAAGCCTTCTCTCCTCCTGCGGAACATACCGGAGATGAGGAGGATTCAGAAGCAGCTGGCCGAATCTGACCAAGAACAACAAGAAGCAGCAGCAGGGGGCAACCATCGCTTCTCCTCCAATTACATGGCCGCTCTGTTCCCTTACTTCCACCACTGGAACAAGGTCTACGGTATGTCAGCGCCACTTGTGCTGAATTGAATCGTTGCCTATTTCATTCCGAATACCATTTTTTTTTAAATGCTTTTGTTTCGAGCTAAGCAATGGTTCTGCTTTTACTCACTTTCCAGCAAAGAGAGACATATCATGTTTCTGTCATAACAGAAGCTTTAAATATCATGCAATCAATTGTCACATTGTGCTAGGTTCCATCTACCTGTATTCCACTGGAAGCATCCAGTCTTTGTTTGTGACGGATCCAGACATGGTGAGGGAGCTGGCCAACTGCAAGTCTTTGGATCTTGGAAAGCCTCGCTACTTGCAGAAGCAGCTTGGAGCGCTTCTTGGCACGGGAATCTTGACGGCAAACGGTGACCTTTGGGCACATCAACGGAAGGTGATCGCGTCTCACTTCTTCATGGACAAGGTTAAGGTAAAAATTCAGCCTTCGTAATGAACCTGTCAGTTGATTGATGACAGAACGATTCACATACCTAGCTAGTGTTCTGGAACTCTCCTACAATAGAAGTTATTTGTGGTTAGCGCTTACATACTGAAATAAATGCCCTGTCATGAGAACAGTTTGTTGCGGTGGATATCCACAGGGAATGGTGGATTTGATGGCGGAGTCTGCAAATGAAATGCTGGTTTCATGGGAAGATATAGTTGACAGGGGAGGTGGCAGTGCAGAGGTGGTGGTTCATGAGTTCTTGAGGAACTTCTCGGCTGATGTCGTATCAAGAGTTGCTTTCGGGAGCAGGTTTTCACGTACTCCGTTCACTTCGCTGAAAAAACAAGTCCGACTAATTCGTTGCGAGAGTGTTACGGGTGAAAAAATACGCTGAAAAGTATGGATTAATAGGGCCCCAAGATTCGACAGCTTCAGGTGGCAATGGCAAAGCAAGATATATTTGCTGCTCTTCCTGGTAGTAGGTATGCTGAGATTAAAAAAAAAACTTCATTTGCACATTTTTTGTTTGTTGAACTAGTATCACCGCCATATGCTATTACTTGTGATATATACGATTTAGAAATCAAAATGCAACCGAGGGACAGAAATTGAGAGGGTAATGGAAGCAAAGGCTTCTTTTCTTCCTGAACTAACTCTGCATTATGTTCCTTCAACACTAAAAGAAAAAAACTCTGCAGTACATGAACTCCTCGATTAGAAAATGAGCTTATCGACATGCCTGATGAGGCACATTATCATGCATCCTGCATTGATCCCTGCAAAACTTTTCCTCCTGGCCTGAATAAGATGTGGATTCAGGTACTTACCAACAAAGCGCAACCGAGAGATTCGGAGGCGCGGCGCGAGCATCCGCGACCTCATCTTGGACATAGCGAGGAGGCACGAAGAAGAACACGACCCGCCGGCGACATCATCTGCGAGCAACAGCGACGGCTTCCTGCGTTCCATCGTCGAGGGCGCCAAGGCCGCCGCCAGCGCTTTCAGTTCATGCACGCCCGAGGACTTCATCGTGGACAACTGCAAGAACATCTACTTCGCGGGGCACGAGACGACGTCGACCACCGCCGCCTGGTGCCTGATGCTCCTCGCCGCGCACCCAGAGTGGCAGTCCCGCGCGCGCGCCGAGGTCATGGAGGTCGTTCGCCATGGAAAGCCTCTAGACGCAGACACGATCCGGAAGCTGAAGACGGTGCCGATGGTGGTGCAGGAGACGCTGCGTCTGTACTGGTTCACATGCACGATGGAAACTTGGAAAGTAGCTAGCGGCTCGGTAGGTGCTTGTTGCACTACTGAATGGACCGTAGCATTGCTGTGCCTTTGTTATTAATATAAATAATATTGTTCGGCAGAATAAAACAAGACTGCCAACGGTCACGGACTCACGGTCACGGTCGCCCCCACCGAGAGGTTTGCATTGCACGTGCATGACCCTTCCCCGTCGACTCCGGTGACCAGACGACTCGCCGTTCCCACCGGGCCTCCGGCGAGCTTGCCTCTGTGCGTACGGCCGGCGGCGATGCCCTGCTACTCCTCTGTTCCTTCCATTTGGGACAGATGCCAGCATCCCAATGACAATGCCGTCAGGCCAAATTCCACTCCCTGGCCAGGCCACTCCGTGCGATTAAGGCCCATCACACAATAGACTGAGCTCAAATGCCACCAGCGTAATCACATGCCCCGTGTCCAAATGTACAAAAAGATTTATTTCATTTTCGGTAGTATTTATTTAGTACTAGCTAATATGGTGGCACCAATAATATGGTGGCACCAATATCTCACTGACGGCTGATCCAAACCCGATTCTATCGATTTTTTCTTCCTAAATTTATCTAAAATCAGGCTCTATCTATTCATACCCGTTTCTTCATTCTTAATATTATTTTGTGCGTGTCTTTCTTCAAGGGCCATGGACACTCTTGCATGGTGTTCCTATAGACGATGGTCTTGTTACAGAGGATCTCAGACGTCAGCACCTTGAGGAGGACTTTGGAGGCCACAAACTAGAGCCTTGAGACTCGATCATACCATGAGGTGATAGGAGCGCGACGTGGAGTCCAGCAACAGATGTGGCGAGGACCCCGCATGTCCTGTTTTTTATTTTTATGGTGGCTGCTACAAGATAGGCCCTGTTCGCTTCACTGAAAAAACAAGTCGAAATACTGTTCCGGCTGATTTGTTGTGAGAGAAAAACACTGTTCCGGTTAAAAAATAAGCTGAAAAAAACGGATTATAAGAGAAACGAACGGAGCCTAAGAGGTATTCGGATACGGTGGAATCATCTAGTTGATTAGGGTATGATCCTACAGTGCTAATATGTCGAAGGGTCAGGAATGACGCCAGGCTCATCACTGTTTATGATGACAAAGAGCTATGACTAGAGTTTTCGACAGCCAACCGCACGTGACTTTGGCAGCGGCGGTTTGGACCTGCGTGACAATGGCTTATCTAGCGTCCAATAGGTGATTAGGCGTTGATGGATCACGAAATTGGCAGTTGTTGGGCACGTTAGTAGTCGTGTACTTTTGCAGTGGCGGACACTGGTGTTGGGTTGTGGCCGTACTAGTTTCTGAGTGTAACCAGTGCTTTGAGAAAGTCAACCAACTCCCAGGAAGGCTGGTATATCAATTGATTCAAAGTTCATTCACTCAATTCCCCTGTAGTTAGTTTTTTGCTCTGTTCTGTGGAAGCTCCGCGCATCTGTCCAGAACCTCCGCAACGAGGTGGTTCCGCGGATATACTTGAAGGCTCCTCGATCTAACAGTTTCGATTCAGATTGTTGATTTTAGAAAAATAGGTCTATTCACCCTCGCCCTCTAGGCCCTTGCGAGATCCTTCCAATCCGACATGCACTTCTGAGTTGTTTGAAGCATATCACTATTTTAGACTATGCTGCTAAGGCCAAAGAACCATCTCTCTAAGGTTTAATTCTCTCTATTTCTATGTCACGGTCGTATGTATTGTACTCGTCAACCAGAGGGGGGGGAGGCCCCCTCTCTCCCTAATTTAAGGTGTCTTTCATATATTTTCTAAATAGGATTTGCCTCGTTGGTCTCTCCTTAATCTTTTGTTGCATCTCCATGTTACAAAAACTACATACTTGTATTGACTTTCTCCGTCATCAAACTTGTCGGGTATCGATATTAGGCATACCCGAAGAAGGGATCTGAGGACCGCGGGCGACAACTCGCCTAGATAATCAAGGACGTATTTCAGTCTCGACCGACCCCGAAGGGACGGTTTCACCTCGCCAGACCCCTCGGGCACAGCCCCCCGTGTCGCCCGACCCTGAGGGTGTGGGAGCCCTCTCGCCCGACCCCTCGGGCGAGGGCCCCACCTCATCCGGCAGGGTCCGTACCACCCCCAACCACTACGGGTCTAAGCGTGTGGGTCTGGGTCAAGCCTCTGACACCAGAAGGGCGCGGGCACACCTTGACGTGACCCGTGGCCACGACAGGCCATGCCCGGGGGTTCGCATTGCCAACAGTGACGGGTGCGTGGGCGCTGTGCTGCCTAATCCCTGTACGGCCGCTGACAAGCACGTCGGGTCACCACGCCGTCCGCCGGGACGGGATGGAACACCACGACAAGCTGGTGACGTCGAGGCATGGAGCCAATGGTGAATAGGAGCACGACGTGGAGCCGTCCTCGTCAAGCATCTATAGCGTCGGCGGGACCCGCATGAAGGAGAAGAAGGACGCGGCGGTCCCAGAGGGCTTCTTCTTCTCGATTTTCTCCCTCTTTCTCCATGGCCTAATGCTAAGTGCTCTCCATGCTCTCCAATTTTTCTCTATTTATAAGTGCTCAGCACTCTACAAATTTTAAGGATTTTATTCTTTTTACAAATATGAACAACGTCCAAATAAACACAAACTGCTCTGCGGGATATAAGATTCACCGATATATTGCTCCTGATAAACTCCGCTTTGTTTTCTTCATCACCGAATTCATCATGTACTACCCATCCTACATATTTGTATTGCCGAACTATCGTGTAGGTGGTCACACCACCTGGCTTTTGGATTTCTCTGCCGATCAACTGGTCGGACCGCTAGGTTCATGACTTCGTCGTCGATCAGTTGGTTGGACTGTTTGGCGTTCACATCTATTCAACATTATTTCAACACCGACCAGATGGTTGGGGTGCTTGATGCTTGATTCTTCACCAACCAACCGGTCAGATTATCCGTCGCTTCATCGTTAGTGACGATGGGGGCTCGCCTACCACGATGAGGACTCCTCGGTGTTTGGATTCTTCATGCAAGCGTCGCTAGCTAAGCTGAGGACTCAGCATTCGGGTTCTTCGTGCAAGAGTCATCGGCTAAGCTGTGGACTCCCTTGGTGTTCGGATCTCGCTACGTCTCATCGGTGTGCTATCAAGTTGCTCCATGTTATTCGGATCAGGGTGTTGATCCTAGGCAGCACGTCTAGGTCTTGATACGTACATGTCAGATGATGTCGGCAAGCTTTTAGACTTATTTTCTTTGACCCTGCTACAAGATTCATTCTTCATCTTCCAGTAGGCTCAGAGACTAAGTGGCTACACTTCACCTGATGGTGAATGTAGTGCTTATTTCTTGATTTACCCTCCTTATTGACTAAGTCACGGATGATAATCATTCGACCTTGCAAACGGAGTCTAAGTAGCTACACTTCATCTAAGGTGAATAATTTTTAAAATTAATCTTGAGCCCCTTATATCCTTTTGGCAAGCTTTACTAGGCTAAGTTTAAGGTCTTCTAACCAATTAGACTGGTCGGCTTCGACTTCCACCGTTTGGATCACCAGTTAAACTGGTTGGCACTTTATTTTGTTGATTGGATTACTAGTTAAACTGGTCGGATTACCAGATTTACTGTCTGACTATAAGATAAACTGCTCGGACTTGCTCAAGATGACGATGCTCAGCGGATACAAGGCGCTCGGGGAATAGCAGTGGGGGATATAACCCTAGGTACCCACGGTAGTAGACATGGGCCGCACCACAGGAGAGGTCCAGCCCTTAAGGAGAAGGCGTGTGTGCAAGACACCGATCGGCATGCATCATACAATTTCAGGAAAGAACCTTGAAGATAGAGAAGGATCTGTTCGGATATGATAGATATCGTATTCCTTGTAAATACTTACCATATAGCCGAATAGATCTAGATCTAACCGACTTGTTACCCTACCCCTAGACTATATAAGGCGGCAGGGACCCCCTCAAAATCATCTCATATTCAATACAATCCAACAAAGACATAGGACGTATGGTATTACGTCGATCAGACGGCCCGAACCTATCTAAATTGCTGTCTTTGCGCCTTGTGTCACCATCTGGTTCCTATTACGCACACCTCCATCGATCATCTACTACCGTGGGTATACCTCTCGATAGACTGTCGACCAGATTTCATCGACATTGATGCGCTGCGTGACCTCGCTATCGTGGAGCGGCCCCTGGGCGAGCACCGTCCCGTCGAGCTACGCGTCGGGCGTCATCCCGTACAGCGGCAGGCGCGCGCCATCAGCGGCGCCACCCTCCTTGCATGATATGCCCTGATGACACTGGCCCCGCGAAGCCCGTGGCTCTTTAGGAACATGATGGCGTCAAGGATATCGCGCATCCTCTTCTTTTCCTTCTCGGGAGGTCCCCACGACCACACCTGCGGCGCCTCTTCGATGAGGCGTCCGGTGAAGTCCAGCAAGGGGGCAGCGGCGTTGTTCTTCACGTAGAACCACTACGCATGCCACCCCTTGTTGAACCTCGACAGCTGGCAGGGCATGTACTTGGTGGCCCGCTGCCTCGGAGGTGGATGCCCGCGCAGCCTATCGTCACCGGCAGGTCCCCAGCTCTATCCCTCTTCTTAAGTAGGGAAACAGCGAAGAAGTACCTCCATAGTTCGAAGTGGGGTTCGATCCTCCGGTAACCCTCGCATAGCGCGATGAAGGCCATGATGTGCTGGATCCCGTTGGGGTTCAGATGCTCTAGCTCAATCTAGTAGTGGTGATGTAGTCCCTAGAAGAATGAATGGGGAGGAATCGTGAGTCCGTAGTCGTGGAAGGGCACGAAGGACATGACGTAGCCATCGTGCGGTGCCGGCGCCTCCTCATGACTGGGCACGAGCCACTCCGTCGTGTTGGTCCTCCCGCAGAGAAGACCACGCTTGACGAGGCCCTCTATGCGCGCGTGGGTAACATCGGAGCGATACCACGACTACATGGGAGGCAAGGGTGAAAGAACGAGAGCTACGTTGGTGGAGGAAGAGCGAAGGCATTGGATCCAAATGCTGGCGGCGGAGATGCGGAGAAGGCAAAGCTTCGGTTAGGCGTATCAAAAGATGAAGGGAAAGGCCGCTATTTATAAGGGAAGGTGGAGCGAGAGGCGAACCGTCCGCCTAGATATGCGCCCACCGCACCTCGTCACATCGCCTCTCTGAGAAACATGCGCACGCCACCTCTGGTTGCTCCCTCAAAGGACGCGCCGGATGACGGTTTGCCCCATTCGATGGGCTGAGAAGCGCCACAGGTAAAGAGGGATAAGGAGCTAAAAACGCTCCCACAGCCCATTCAGGCCCAAGAGTTCAAATGTTGGCCCACCCACGGGTTCACAACCGCTCCGAGGCGCCTTTAGAGTGAGGGGTGGAAAGGGATGGGCCTGCTAGCAGCCAGTACCCGGGTGCACGAGTGCCGCAGGCATCTCGACCCACGTTCGAGTCTTGGTCGGTTCACAGTCCATGGTTTTTTCTCGAAGAAAGGCAACGAGCCCTTGGCACCAGTCGAACGAACCCAAGAACTATATGGATTGGCCGCCAAGAATCTGGAGTCGGTCACCAGCTGACCCATGCCAGACTCCCGCGAACAGGAACCCACGGCCCACTAGGACTAGCCCGTTAATAGCTCATTGAGCCCCATGATTCGTCCATCGAGGAAAACATGGCACGGCTCAGCCACCACCATTTTATTGAAAAACGCTTGAGGGAGGACGATCACAAGACGAGCTGACCACTCGACTAGACCCCTGCTACGCGTGGGG